CATGTGTTCGGCCACTTCTGACCGTTGGACCCAGCTTCCTTTACAAGCAGTTTTGTGTTCGCCCAATCTTTGTCGAATAGGTCGGCATGTCTCGCCAAAATAACATTGACCACATGAGCAGACAAACTTGTAGCAGCAGGATCTCGATAATGGGCCATATTTATTTTCTGAAAGCTGGCATAACAGAAGAAAGTTTGCGGGTTTCTTTGAACATTGTATTTACGCCCCACTTTCTTACTAATTCGCCTATCTTTTTTGAGAGAAGGCATGACGGCAAAGTTAGGACATGGGAAAAGATCTCAGTAAGTCTATCCTTGATTAAATCGTCTCCGCATGAAAATTTATTCCTCTGTAGAGAAATATTATTCTCAATAGGGTCCAAAGGATAATTATATTCGAGGAATATATTTGTCCTCCTAACAATACATTTTTTTGGCCAATTCCATGTCCGATTCCTCGCATTGCAGTCACATTTTCTTGACTTCCCTTTCTTTCGCATAAGCCGCTCCTTGGTGATGTCTCTTCCTGTTGTGGAACAGTTGACATGGGTCCAAGCGTCTTCTTTTAGATGTCTTTGTTGAATCTCAAAGTCTGCTCAGGCAGTACGCGAAATTATCGCTGACTCTCTCCCCTCCAAATCTCCTGTTCATCGGGTTTCTTTAAAAGAGGATGTCCACAGACCCTCTGATCTTCCTTTTCCTGGTGTTTTCCCCATTTGAGGCCAGTCTTTCCGTTGCATTCCAAGCAATTGTGTAGCCGATAAGGGCAATGTGTTCAGCTATCTCCGATCTTTCCGCATCCATTTTTCTGCATTTTCGTTGGTCTTCTTTGATCCTTGTGCTGATTGGCTTTCCAATTTCTCCGATGTAGTTGTGTTCACAGTCCTTGCTGCAAACTCTGGAGCACTCCTTTCCTTCAGGAAAGGAATGTTTTATTTCTGTTGTATCGGCCACAGCTTCCAAGCCAATTCGCATGAGGGTAGACATATACATAGTTCTTCCTCTACTCCTTTTGCTTTCTTTTCAAAATCTCGGTACTTCCGTCTGTTAATCACCACCCATCTGTTTCGTTTTATCGCTTCTTCTGGATATCCTATTCCAAGAAACATCTGACTTAGTTCTCCCAATCTCTCTTCCCAGAACTCAGAATCAGTCAGTCCTAGGCTTTTTATGATTCTACTACGGAGTATTCCAATCTCCGTACAACAAATATAGCTTGACTGGAGGCTAAGAATTATTCCAACATGTGGTTTCTTTCGTAAAAGTCTTTTCTTGAGAGCTTCCTCGAAGCGAATGACCTCCATATCCAAGAACGGCAAGTGTCTGTTCTCTTCCACATCCATTGTGAATTTGACTCCTTCATACATTTCGTTTATGAAGATCAGCAAATCGTCTAATTTCTCTCTTCTTTGCGATCATCCCAATATTGCATACTTACCATTGGCTGCTGGGGTGACATTCTAAAATTCTCCTCCATCTTGCCCGTGAATGTATTAGTCAACAGAGGTGAGAGTGATGAGCCCATTGACGGGTCCAATATATGCTCATAGATGCGGCCGTTGAACGTGAAATAGATCTTTCTTATTGTTGGATTGATTAATCGCGTTAAAAACTCTCTACGCATTCGCTCTGTAACTAGGATGTCACTTTCTTTTTCCAAGATCTCCAGTAGTGTGGTGAATGATTTTTCTCCCATCATGTTCTCGTCTATGCCCTGTACCTCAAAACTCAACAAAAATTCGTTTCCTTCCAAACTGGCGCCTTTGATTCTTTGGCAAAATTATCATGAGTTCTTCACTGTATTCGATAATGTGTCATTCACTTTCCTTAGTTTGAGGCAGATAAATTTTTCCAATTCATGTGTCGGTCCATGTTTGTTGTTGATCATCAGTTCCATTGGTTCTCCTTCTTTGTGTACCTTCGGCAAACCGTACGCTACTGGTGCTCTTGCATCCTTTCGTATGAGTTGAGTTCATCGTCCACTTGTCGCTTTCGCCGTTCCTATTCATTTCCTTCAGCATTTCTTGCAGTGCCTCTTTTATTTTAATTGTTAGGTCTTTTGTCAGTAGTCGATACGTTGTTATGTCCCAAGAATATCTTCCATTTACTCTGTATTTTCCTTCTTGTCTATCACCAATGTGGCACCTCCTTTGTTGGCTTGTGGGACTATTTGATCATTTCTTTTCAATTTTCCATATATCTTGGTAATATTGTCCTTATGTGTGGGTTCTTGTTGCGCCAAGTCTTTTAGGATGATTTCCATTTCCAGCACTTTTTTTCCAGAGGTATATATAACCTCCACTAAAATGTCCTCGATTGCCATCCTGTCATTCCGAAGGGCAAAATTTAGTCCCTTCTGGAGAATCTCAGTGGTTTCTAAGTCAAGAGGGACGGAAGACAGATTCACTATTTTATCCTCATTTCTTTTGTGGACTTTGATACCCGTCAGTCTAGAAGCTTCTTCTATATATTCCATATCTATTTACTTTCTGCCGGTGCCTTTTTTGATTAAGTCCGATATCCTTTTCGACATTTTGTTTGTCATCATCTGTAGTTTCGAGAAACCCTCCTGATGAGAATCTGACTCAAATTATGTCTAAGTCTAGATTTAGTTTTAGGGAATTATAAATATTCCCTCTAAATATATGCTCGGCTTTGCGATACCGTTTAGTATACCCCAACTTTGTATAGGGAAAGAAGAATACAAGTCACGGAATGATTTTTATACGAGAAGGAAAGTCACAGGCGAGTATCTCGATGTGGGGGAAACACAGACGATGGCAGAGCATGTTGCTGGTGCAAGA